TCAAAAAAGTCCCCTTTGTGTCCTAGCAAATTTGTGTGTCGTAGCAAATTTGTGTGTCGTAGCAAATTTGTGTGTTGTAGCCCCTCACCCCACCCACCCAAAAATAAGCCCTGGTTTTTAGCCGACGTGCGTCTCCCGGCCTCCGTTCGTTGTGGGGCAAGGCCTGGGAAGCGGGACGGTGGTGGGAGGTTCGACCCCCTGTGGGATACCGACACGACGGGCAAGGGTTCGAAAGAGAGCCAAAAATCACAGGGGAAACGGCGCGGCCGAACAATGGAAAGGGTGCCGTTAACACCGGAGGGTTGTGGTTTTTTTTTTTTCTCCTTAATACAATTAATAAAGCTAATTGGCCATTGAACTTGCAGCTGTTTTTTCCTGGGCTGGGAGCTTGATTTAAACATTGAATTTTTTTTTAGCCTTCGACGCGGTTTCAGGACTTTCCACAATGTATCCTGAGTGTTAAGACGCAGGTCGTCCTCAAGTTACAACCACAATTGGCACTGGTTGCAATCATTGCTTTTCTGACAGGGAGAACGATCGACCCATGGAACGGAAGTTGCCCTCGGAAGTTGTGGGAGCTTCATCCCTGGAGGCTTTCAAGAAGAGACTGGACTGCCATTTGTCAGAAATGGTGTAGGGTCTCCCGCTTAGGTGGGGGGTTGGACTAGATGACCTACAAGGTCCCTTCCGACTCTTGTTATTCTGCTATTCTTCCTCCCTCCCTCCTTTCTCTCCTTCCTTCCTTCCCCATCACTGGAGGTTTTTCAAGAAGAGATTGAACTCCTCCTCTGTCAGAAATGGTGTAGGGTCTCCTGCCTGGGCGGGGGGTTGGACTAGATGACCTACAAGGTCCCTTCCAACTCTATCTGTTTTATCTGTTTATCAACCATTTGGAAGTGACAACTTTGAAAAGCGACTTAATGAGCAGTCCTCGCACTTATGACTGCTGCAGCCTCCCTGGCGTCTTATCTATGAGGGCAGAAGCATCCCAGGGTCACGCAACCACAGCAAGCAACGGGTGTGTGTGTGTGTGGGTCAGATTCACTTAACGACCAGGGGAATTCGCTGAACAGCCGCAGCGATTCCCTTAACAACCGTGGCGAAAAAGGCCTTCAAAACTCTGACGCGACTCATTCAACAAGTGTTTTGCTTAGCGACGGAAATTCCATTCCCGATGGCGGTCGTACATCGAGGACACTGTATTTCCCAGTCTTAGCAAATTGTCCTATAAAAGTGTTGAAATCGGAATTGAGAGACAGTACGGCAGTGTTGGGGGTTCGCCGGCAGCCGGTGGAGAGAGCAGCGGACAGTGGGGAAGAAAGGGGACCAGTCTGGGGAGGACTCGAACGAGGGTCCTGCATCCGATGCAGAGATGGGGCCAGGACCATCTTGGAGTGGGGGGGCTGACTCCGGAGCCTCCGGAGTCTGGCAGCAGCAAGGCAGAGGAACGAGGGGAGCCTGTTCCCAGTGCGTGCATGCACAGAGCTGCTAGAAGGCAAGAGCAGCTGAGACAAAAGGGGCGACTCGGGAGTAAGGCTGGGAGGTGATTGCCTCTCCCATAAGGGACAGGCAAAGGTGAAGAAATCTTTGCAGGAAGCAAGGTCATTCACTCTATTTGGATTAATCCTTGAAGCTCTGTGTGGACTTTGTACTTTCGTCTGGCTTTTTACAGTTTGTTTGGCACTTTAGTTGTTGGCAGCCATTCAAAGGAGAGAAAGGTGGGTGCTTATCTCGAGACACTGGGACTCATTACAGGCTGGGAATGAATGTAATTCCCAGCGCTGAAATAAAACTGTTTGGACTAAGTGTGTGCTTCATTATGGTCTCAGGAAGCCTTGGTCAGAACAGGTGGAAATCTGTCAGTATAGGATTTTAGGCTCCGGGTTTTTGAGTCTCCTCTTTTAAAAAACCTGCAGGATTTTATTCCGAAAAGCCGTAAAAGTACAGAAGTGGAAGGCAGAGGCGTTGATTAACAGCACCTTTGATTTAAAATAAATAAATAAATCGTTTAACAAAAGAGCCAGCATTTGGGAGGAGGCAGAGCCAAGGCAATTAATTTTCGGGATATCAAGGGAACCTGTTTTAGCAATTCCCAGCTTTGCAAAAAATGCTCCATGCACCTAGATCAAAAGATTTAAAAACAAGATGCCAAACAATCAGCCACACCGCGACGTGTAATTTGAGGAACAAAAGACAAAAAAGCATTGGCTTGGGCTCCCAAGGAAGGCTCTCATGAATTTTGATCATCAAAAGGGTTTTTAAAAATACAAAATTAAAAAAAAGGTTTTTGGATGGATGGAAGCTAAATCTTAGGGCTAGGAGAAAAACTTCCATCTATGGGGGTGGGAAAACGATTGGAGGGCACGTAATTGAACGAAATTATATTTTTAATTCGTTAATCATTTAATTCACTGCAAAACTGGTTGATTCTCCTCCTCTCCCACTGGGAATTTTTTTTTTTTTTTACAGTTTGCAAGTGAATTACTGCCTGTTTGTTCTTTATATAGCTTTATCTTTAAAAAATTTTTTTAAAATTCTTTACTGAAATTCAAAATATTAAAAAGTTTATAAAAATTCAAAATATTAAAAAATGCAAAAATTTCTATAAAAGATGTCAATGCCTTTCAACATCATTTTGACAGTACAATACACATATACAATTAATGTTTGACAGTTATTCATAGTATTGGTAATACTGATTCACAGTGCCTTAATATTAATAAAGTGATTCATGCATACGTCATTGGTTCAAAAAAGAAAAATAATATATTAACACTAAGTACGTATCTAAGAAGAAAAAAATCAGATATAAATCTATAGTGTATGTACTGTGCTCTCTATTCCATAGCCATGAGGAGATATATGTATTTTAAATATACAATATAACTACATAAATATTATAAATTAAATATGAATATTTACATAGATCTCCATTTTCTGGCAGTTTCTCAATTTCAGGTTTCTCGTTAGTCCTACCAATATGCCAATTTTATTTCCTCCTTTAATCTATATTTTTCATGTTTTACTGTCTACCCATTGATGCCAAACGTTCCAAATTGAGTAATATTCTGAGTCTTCTTTATCATTTAATTTCATCATTAAGTCTATCCATCTCTGCACAATTTTATGAATTAGAATTTTACGAATTTTAACTTCGACAGAATATGGACATCTTCCAAGGCTGTGCTAGCGCAATTCTTGCCGCCGTTATTATATGTATAAGGAGATATCGGACATATACTTTATTTTTTAAGATGATAAGCCACACGGAGCAACCCTGTATGGCAGGATGGGAAGCCAATAAATTTAATAAAGAAAGAAAACCAAGAGGAGAAAGGAATCAAAAGTCGCATTGGGAAGGATGGATTCTAAATCGGTCCGTTTTGCGCATGAGCTGAGATCTGAAAATAAAAAAGATTCCCCTTTCAAACCACAACCTGCCCCATTGAATGAAAGCAGACAAATTGATTTTTCAATGTTTATTATTAACCGGAAAAATCTTCGTGGGGGCAAATCCGCCCCCCACCCCAAGAGAAGAAACTTCACTTGGGAAAAGGGAGCTGTCAGCCAGCTCATTATTCACGAGTGGAAAAGTAAAATAAAAGACTATCATCAACTCGTAAAGTGTTTTTTTTTTCTATATATTTACAGAAGCTGAATGAGTGGGTTTTATTTTATTTTTTGTGGGGTGGGGGGGGAAAGGCTCAAAATCTTGGCTCAAAAGCAAGCAAAACAGCCAGCTACCAGGAACGATGACCATGAATTCAACCAGGTCAGGAAAAAAAAAAAAATCTTGCCTTCCCAAAAGTTTTAATGCAAAGGGAGGGGGGTTGTTTTTTTCTTTTCTTTTCTTTCCTTTCCTTCTCTCCTGCAGACGGGAGGAAAGAAAAAACTTCGCAAGGTTTCAGCCTTGCCTTCAGCCCCACCCCACCTCCTCCCTCCGAGCCCCAAGGCCCACTTGCAAAAAAATCGGCCGGCCAGACTGGAGGTTGTCCACCTCTTTCATGCCGGCTTGCTCTCAATGGACGGTGTTGTCTTTTGTGAAATGTGTGCGGTGCCCACGCCCGTTCTGCACGCTGCCCCGTGGGGTTCCTTCAAAGGAAACGATTGTTCCGAGAAAGCAGGGAAGAGCAAACGGTTTTGAGTTTGGCCTGTGGGAGGATGTCAGTTTCGTAACCTGACCACTTTTTTTTTTTTTTTTTAACGTGGTGGGGTTTTAGGCCTTGGCTGGGGGAAGAGGCTCCGCCGAGAATCCTTCGGGTTTAAAACTGTGGCCTCTCGCAATGAAAAGAAGTTATAATAATAATGATGATGATGATGAGGTCTTCAAACTTGGCAACTTTTAAGACCTGTGGACTTCAAACTCCCAGAATTCCTCAGCTAACATGACTGGAGGAGGAGGAATTCTGGGAGTTGAAGTCCACAAGTCTTAAAGCTGTCAAGTTTGAAGACCCCTGGGATAGATAGACAGGGAAAGAGAGGTAGGATAGATAGAAAGAAAGAGAGATAGATAGAATAGATAGTGGGAGAAAAAGAGAAAGATAGGATAGGATAGATAGATAGAATAGAAAGAGAGGTAGGATAGGAGACAGATAGAATAGATAGGTAAGATAGATAGATAGATAGATAGATAGATAGATAGATAGATAGATAGATAGATAGAT